AAAAAAAAAAGAACTACAGGCCAATCTCCTTAATGAACATAGACACAAAAATCCTCAATATGATACTGGCAAACAGAATGTAGCAAGTCATCAAGAAGATTATTCACCATGACCCAATAAGTTTCATCCTAGGGATGCAGGGATGTTTCAACATACAAAAATCAATAAATGTAATACACTGTGTATTAACAAAGTTAAGGACAAAGCCTATATGATCATCTCCACAAATGCAGAAAAAGTATTTGACAACATCCATTCATGATAAAAACCCTACAGAAAATTTAAAATGATGGTATTTCTCTCAATCTTATAAAAGTCATCTATGAAAAACCAACAGCCAACATCACAGTAAATAGATAAAAACTGAATGTTTTCACACTAAAGTCAGGAACCAGACAAGGATGTCCATTGTCATGACTCTTACTCAATATTGTTCTGGAAATATTACCCAGAGCAACTAGCCAAGCAAAGAAATTAAAAGGAATAAGGATAAGAAAGGAAGAAGTTAAATTATCATTATTTGCAGATGATTTGATACTTTACACAGAAGACCCCAAAAATTTCACCAAAAGAGTTACAGACTTAGTAACCAAATTCAGTAACACAGTTGGGTACAAAATCAACATTCAAAAATCAATAATGTTCCTATATGCAAGTACAAATCACTGGGAGAGAAATCAGGGAAAGAGCATCTTTCACAACAGCATCCAAAAAACTGAAATACCTAGGAATCAATCTAACAAAGGAAGCAAAAGACCTTTACATTGAAAACTATATAGTACTCCAAAAAAGGAGTTTGAAGAGGATATCAGAAAATGGAAAGATATTGCTTGTACTTGAGTAGAAAGTACGAAGATAGTAAAAATAGCCATTCCAAATTTCATATACAGATTTGACGCAATCCTGATCAAAGTACCAATAGCATATCTCACGGGATTAGAGAAAAAATCCTAAAATTCATTTGGAACCAGAGGAGACCTAGAATAGCAAAAGCAATCCTGGGCAACAAATTGTTATTCAGATTTAATGCAATCCCAATCAAATTACCATTAACATACCTGACAGAACTACAGAAAAATACTCTTAGAATTCATCTGGATACAGAAGAGACCTAAAATAGCAAAGGCAATTCTGGGCAACAAAGGCAAGTCAGGGGGTATCAAAATCCCTGACTTGAAATTGCACTATAAAGCTACTGTGATAAAATCAGCATGGTACTGGGAAAAACACAGACCTGAGGATCAGTGAAACAGATTAGAGGATGAAGAAACAACTCCAAACATACTTAACCACCTCATCTTTGACAAAGGTGACATATATCTTCACTGGAAGAAAGATAGCTTCTTTAATAAACGGTGCTAGATAAACTGGCTTCCACATGCCAAAGACTAAAACTAGACCCATGGCTCTCACCATGCACTAAACTAAAACCAAAATGGATCAACCATCTACATACTAAATCTGTTGGAAGATAGAATAGGTAGCAGTCCTGAAGATACTGGAGCAGGCAAAGACGTTATTAAAAACAACAACAACAACAACAACAAAAAAAACCAAACTATTTCACCAGAAATATCACAAAGAATCAACAACTGGGATCTTATCTTACTAAAAAGCTTCTGCAAAACAAAAGAAACTACCAACAGACTGGAGAGACAAGCTACAGAGTGGAAAAAAAAATTTTGCCAGCTGTTCCTCTAGAATATAAACTCAAAAAAATCACACAAAATTTAAAGAGGCAGTCCAAAAATGGGCATCTGAAAAGAAGAGATACTTCTCAGATGAAGAAGCAGACATGGCAAGTAAATATACAAAAAAAAATTCAACATCACTGGTCATTCGAGAGATGAAAATTAAAACACTCAGATTCCATCTCACTCCAGAAAAAATGGTTATTATCAGGAAATCAACCAATAACAAGTGCTGGTGGGCCATGGAGAAAAAGAAACCCTTGTCCATTGTTGATGGGAGTGTAGACTGGTGCAACCACTGTGAAAATCAGTGTGGGGATTTCTCAAAAAAATAAAAACAAAGGTTCCATTCATCCCAGGTATTCCCCTTCTTGATATCTTTCCAACAGAATTAAAAACATCGTATCACAGAGATATATGCGCTCGTGTTTATAGCAGCACAGTTTGTAACAGCTAAATCTTGGAAACAGCCCAAATGCCCATCAACTAATGAAAGGATAAAGAAGATGTAGAGGTTTTTTTATACAGTGGAGTATTATTCTGCAATAAAAAAGGATAAGCTTGCAACATTTCTAGCTAAATGGGTGCACCATGGGACCACACTCTTAAGTGAAATAAATCAGACACACATATTCAAATATTGCATGGTTTCTCTGGTGTGAAAACCAAAAGTGTAAATTAGGATCAAAATGTATAGTAGATATTGAGAAATGGGAAGAAAATGTTCAGATGAGAAGGGGAACAAGGGAGGGGGAGGGGAAAAGAAAAAAGAAAAGAAGGAAAGATAGAGACAAAGTTTTTGTAAACAAGGAAAGGAAGAGGAGGTTGAATGGAGGGAAGGGAAATGTGAAAAAAGAAGACACAAGTTACATTACGTACAGGTGCAAATTCCCTATGATGAATGTTATCATTAAGTATATCTAAAATGTACCAATAAAATAAAAATTAACAAAATAAAGAAAATGTTCTAAAATAGCATGAGAGTTCAATTTAACGAATTTGTATAATGTTTAGCAATTAAATACTTATTCATAAGAGGAAAAGTAGGGTACTCTTCATACATTCACAAGATATCAAAATAATATCAATCTTAATCATAATCCCAAGGTTGATTTTTTTATTGAGATTGACAAACTAATTTTAAAATATATATGGATATGTGAAGAAATCAAAATATCCAACTTAGTACTGAGAAAGAGGTCTGATTAGAAGGTTTGTTTACCTGATTTCAGGACTTATTATAAAACTACAATAATGAATACATTTTTATCTAGTATGTGGTTCAAAAATTAATATGATAAAATTCAGATATAGACTTACATTCATTCTTTTTTTTGTTTGTTTACAACAAATACTTTATAGTAACTCAATGAGCATATGTCTTTTGAGAAAGTGGTGCTAAAGCACTGAAAAACCCATTTTGAAAAGAGTGAACACTGACCCCAAACCCACATCACACACAAAACTTAATTTGACATGGATCACAGTGCTACAATTATAAAATCCTTATAAGGAAATACAGAGAACACTCTGTGTGACCTAGGGGCACCAAAGTTTTTTTAAAAGATAAAGTGATAATCACAAAAGAAAAAATATTAACTTAGATTTCATCAAAATACAGGTGTCTACCCCTTAAATGTCACTATTAAGAAAAGCAGTAGGGAAGTCACAGAGCATGAGGAAATATTTGTAAAACTATGTATCTTTATAAATATGAAAGGACTAATATAATTATAAATGTAAATATACCAGGTCCATAGTGGTTTTATTTGTAGTTAATTAGAAATAAATCTGAAACAGCTCAGCCTTGGCAAAAGGAATTTCTGATTGTGGAGACCAGGTGTAACTTCCATCCTGGTGAACATGGCTACCTTGCCTAGAGTGAGCAAAGCACTTGAGCAAGGACTAGAGTATTTGGAGAAAGAGGGCACCTGACTTTAGGAGAGCATGTCATTTGGTCCACCTGATTACTGAGAGATTCCCCTACACTAGGGCCAATGATGAGCATTTACATTAGGTACAATTATTTTCACACTAGATGCCATGTTTGAGAAGTCTATTTATATCCTCTCCAGACCTCCTTGCCACCAACCTTCCAACGTTGTTCTCTCTAAACTGCTGACTAAAAAGCCAAACCACTAACAATTACTAACAAATCAACTGGAATTTATTCTTCTTGTCCAGATAAAGTGGACAATAAGATGGACCTCTTAATATTCTGCCTACTGGGATGATTTCTTTCCACCCTTTGCTTTCAGGGTCACCTGGAATGGGACTGTAATCCTTCATCCATCCACTGGTACTTTGTGTTGGCAAGTTGTGCAGGGCTTGTCTGAACTTTTCTTCTTCTCATTAAATAGTTAGAAGAATCTCATCATAAGACCAGAGGTGCATACTGAGCAAGATAAAGTACTGTAGCAGGAGTTAGCACCTGTATATCTCCACTTAATGAGCAGTACTGCTGTGCACACCCAACCTATTGACTTGTGGGCAAAGAAAAAAAGCCCACCGAATACCAAATAGAAAGCTCAACTTATAGCAACATATATTGAGCCTCTCTTAATGGTAGGTGGTATAAAATTGAGCAATATGTCTTTCAGCTTTGAAGTTTTATGCTACTAAATTTCAAACCATTGGACTCAACAAAGAGGGATTGACAGATTCCTGAGTTTTGTGGAGCTTACCACTCTCCCTTTGCTTTGTAGATATCTTCCAAAACAGTGTGATTTGACAGTTTTAGTTTGTTTTGCCACAATTCTGAAACAATGGTATCTAAGAAGTCATAATAGTAATTTCTGGCTCATTTATAATAATTGGGCTACTTTGGTGGGTGGGTTTACTTGTTTTCATGATATTAGTAGCAAATAAAATATCTTTGGTGTTAGCTTCCTACTACTGATGTAACAACTTACCACAAATTTAGTGACTTAAACAACAAAAATTTATTTACACTTCTGTAGGTCAGAGGTTCAAAATGGATTAGCAGTGTATTTCTTCTGGAGGCTCCAGGAAAGAATCTACTGTCCTGCCTTTTCCAGCTTCTAAAGACTAATCTCACTGCTTCAGTCATTGTTCCCTTACCAATTCAACCTCTACTGCTGCTATCACCTCTTCTGTGACTCCCTTTTATAAGAAGCCTGTGCTTAGTCACTGTTGCAACCGTTCTCTGTTTTTGTTTTCTCTTAGGCTACAATGGGAGTTGAAGAGAATGTTTTAAAGACATAGAGGAAAGAAATAGTGTTCAAGATGGACAGTTCTAGGGTTTAGTCTGGGTACCATTACGGGCTAGTGGGAGATTTAGGTAAATTTTCTTTTATATAAAGTAGAATAATTTTGACTGTAAGGATTAGATTATATGATGTATGCTAAACACTTGACACAGAGGGTAGCCCTCAGTAAATGAAAGTAGTTAGGATCACAGATATTCATTTAGATTAAATGTTCTCAATTCTGAATGCCTATGAAGAATGTTAATAAAATAACATAGTTCAGGAAACACCCTCAGAACTTATGATTTGATTGGTCTATCTTTTTTTAAAGGCAATTACAGGACGAATTGAGAACATGTTGACTTAGATGAAGTTGGTAAGAATATTAACCCATTTTTGTGTCTACCATGAATATCATGTGCCAGATCTAGAACTCATTTTTAAGAAGCAGTACTTAATATAATTTAACAAAAACATACCTATGGTAAAGATGTGCATCAATTGCAAGAGACTTTTTTTTTTATGTTTAAAACTGTAAAAATATTTTCTATTTTATCTTTAGCAAATGACGGTTTTATTTAAAATGCTTTTTTTTTTAAATTTGTCCACTGGGAGTCCATAACATGCTTTCAACATTTTTATGTAGTTTCCAAACATAATGTGGGAAGTAATGACTTTTTAAAAATATTATTTGATGTTTGTGCCCATATTTGGCAGAGCTCAGAAATAATTTAGTCCCAGTGTATTTCCAGATGTGAGTTTTGTAACACAAATTCACAATGAGCATATTTCTTAGATTACTTTTCAATAAAGATAGTATTTGTGTCTCCATAAAATTAAACAAAATGATTTAATAAAATCAGACAATGAACTACTAAAGGTAAAATAATCTTAGACCCAATCTAATTGAACAAATTAACAAGATATTTGAATTTATCTATCTTTGTAAATATCATTAGATATAAAAAATAAATTATTTTGATATATAGAAGATTGTGATATATAGAAGAAATTTATATCATGTTCTGATTTTAGGGATTTGGACTCTTGTTATTATTTCTTTGGAATCAGGTCTTCAATGATAACTTTTAGAATAACAGCCTTTATTTGGGTTCAAATGGACTCTGACCCTGACTTATGCTTAGCTATCCATATGGAGAACAACATGGAAAAACATATCCATAAAAATGACTCTTGAGGATAACTGAAACATTTATATTTCATAGCCAATGTTTTATATAATTTGGAAAAATAATGAGAAACAGAATCTTCTTATTTTGAAATATGTATTTGAATATAAAGACCATCTAAAATAGACAAAAATAAGTTTTATTACTAAGAAATTTACATAAATATTTCCATAGAAACACAGGTAAAGTAGATTGCTTCTGTTATGGTTTGTGTCTGGATGTGTCTCCCCAGAGCCTCATGCAGTCATGCAGTGCGCTTCTAGACTTTATGACTGATTCATGGTCCAGTGTTGGAATTATGGCTATGAGTGCTACACCTGCCCTGGGGCGGGTAGTTTGCATACAATGTAAGGGAGGGAAAGAGGCTGCCTTCTGCTTCCCCTCCTCCCTTTTGCTCTTGTTGCTTTGCTATGTTCCATTGCCATAAGGAGTTGCCCTCTTCCACGTGCCGCTCTCCCTTGAAATGAGCCATGTATGAACTGAACCCTCACAAACTGTAAGCTAAATAAACCTTTCCTTCTTCAATTTTGGGCATCAGGTATTTTGTCTCAGTATGAGAGAAAAGTAACCAAGACAGCTTCCTCAAATATTTTCCTCTTGATAAGATTATTACCCTAGTGATATCAAAAGAAAAATATCTTTTGATATGCTTTTCTAACAGTTACTTATCTTTTATCTCAAATATAATTTTGCCAAATGAAGGTACATAGTTCCTTTGCAAAAAGGCTTTATGTCTTCTCATTGCAGGAAAAGCATTCTCAGGTATTTCCTGGTGTTTTCTATTGATAAAGTTATAATAAATATGTAGTCTACAAAATATGATAATTACATTCCAGTGCATTTGCAAGGGTGAGGAAGAAAATATTAGAGCCTCTAATTTTGCCTGTCTTTTACAGAGAAATAAAGCTAATTTATATTAATATATAGATGATAGTATATGTATGTACTTTATAAATAAATTTCCACACATTGGGAATACATGCAAAACTTTGTGCTGATGGGGATGCACAAGGAAATACTGATGCCCACTGAGAGTTCCTAATGGGGTGGAGTAGCTGCCAAACTGTCAGAGTAATGTGAGTTCTTCTATGACTTTGCAACCTTCAGTAAAGGTTCTTCCACCTGTCACCGCCTTGTAGTGTGCATACTGAAAGGTGGAAACAAGGGGAAAGTGGCCATATGTAGGTCATTGCCAAGGTAGAAATTAAGGTGCTTTGCTTCCGATCTGTGTCAACTTGCAAGTCGTAGTGCATTCAGGCTTATCAATCTTGAAAGTCTTTAAAATTCTTCTTCCTAACCTAACTGTTCTGTGCCAAGAGTCTTGTTCACACATTATGCCATCTAATCTGGACCTCACCTTTTGAGTACATAATAGTTGGTTTCTGTCAGTATAAGTAAATTAGGGGGATATATTTTATTAAATTATCTTTAGAATTTTGAAGTCTTTTCAGAAACAATATTAATGGTGGCAAAACTATAATAATTGGCAGACATGAAAGAAAATCTTTCTAGAACACAGAGGTAGAGCACAATTTCTGGAATCTAAGAAACCTATGCTGAAATTCTGATGTTAACTAACACCAACAGTGGAAATTTATGCTATTGTGCAACCACTTTGAGCCTTAAATTTTTTCTTCAAGAGGTGGGGATAATAATAACTAAATAGACAACTAAATGGTAAAATGAAATAATTATATATTATATATATATATATACAAAAACACATGTAAAATGTCTAGCACATAATACATAATCACTATTAGCTGTCATTATTACTACATTTGATTAAATTTGGTGGTCTCATCCAACAGTACATGCATTAACTTCACAACAGAAAATAACTTGAGCAATCGAACTATTGATGTCTTACACAATCAACACCAAAGAGCCTTATCTCTGATTAAGCTAGACAAGAACTTCTTTATGTGTATGTTAAATTTATTTTATTTAAGTTGTTATATTACTGTCTTTATAGATTACCTCAAAAAACTAAGAAAATATTTTTAAATTGCCTTATAATTTTTTTTATTTTGTCACCACAATACCTTACCGTGTCCTTACCTTCTTTAAAATAGTTATCAAGGTTGCCGGCACAAATGGATTTAGGAGTCAAAAAATCTGTGGTACAGACATAAATAAGAACATAGCATAAGTATTTCTCAAAATAAGTTTTTTCTGTTTATCTGTATGTATGTGTATACACACTAAAAAAGAATATAAGGAAATTTTTATATAAACCAACCATGAGGTAATAATTTAAAATTATTAATGTATATCTCTTCTACTTTCTTTTTTTTGTTTGTTTGTTTGTTTGTTTGTTTTCCCTCTGGTACCGGGAACAGAACTCACGACCTTGCACTTGCCAGGCAGCTGCTTTGCTGCTGAGCTAAATCCCCAGCCCCTGTCTCTTCTTTCTTTGTTCAAATCATTCTAAGGAATCCATTTAACAAGAAAGAGATTATAGTTTGTTACTAGAGGGCTAGGGGCATGGATCACTGCTGGAACACATGCTTAGCATGCCTGATGCCTGCCTTCAATGCTCCCTAGAAGGAAGGAAGAAGGAATGAAGGATAGAAAGAAGAAGGAAGAAAGGAAGGAAGAAAGGAAGAAAGACAAAAGAAAAAAAAGAAAGTTGTTACTGGAGAAATACAAGAAGATGTTAGATTCAGCTACAAATATGCAAAATAGAATTATGCCTTAATTAGCAAAGAAATGACTATAATTGAGAGTGCATGTCAAGAGAAAGATTTAGATTACCTCATTTGCTTCATTAAAAAATTAAAGGTTTGAGGATGTTGTTCACAAGGACCTCCTGTGTATGGAGTGACTTCTTTCTCCATAACAAAAAAGCAGCCATTGTTGCTACTACTCAATGATAGACATAAGAAAGGAAAACAAACAGTCAGTTTGGTGGGGCGGGGATAGGAAGAGAACAAGAAAGGAAAGGGTGAGATGACAAGCATGGCAATCATCTCCCCACAGGCTTAAATTCGGAGAGAGGGAAGGTGGCTTAGGAAAGTGAAGTTATCACTGGGAAATCGTGTGCTGCACCGAATTTCTGGGAAATCCTGTGCTGCACCCAATTTCCCATTTAGGACTACAGAGAGTTCACCTGCAGGATGGCCTTGTACCAAATGGGAATGTAGCCATACTTCCTTAATGTTCCATGACCCTGGGGAGATGAGTACCTCAGGGCTTAACTTTCCCTGGCTGATACCCAGGCGTGAGTGGTATGAATGAGTTGAGAACAGTGTGCCATGGGGCCTTCTGAAAGGGACAAGGTGATGCCTGATGGAAAATAGACGGTGATTTTTGGGCCAACAGAGTCAGAGGACATAAAAATACCACTTGGGTCTACTGCTAGCAGGAATGAAGTAAATAAGAGAACGCTATCAAAATCTAGCCAAGACAACATACACCAGATTATGAGTAAAATGCCTATCAATGCAGGCACTGAAGACTGATGCAATGTGGAGGTGTTAGCCAGACCTGTCCCACAATAACTACAACTTCCTTTCCAACATCACTGTGAGAGCTCCTAACACCATGCCTGAGTTGGAAAACCTATTTCTTAAATTCTATAATTTCTTTTCTGTTTCCTCTTTATCATTTTTCAGAGTACAAACCCTAGTTTCCCGAAAAAGGATCCTTAGGATAAAAATTTTAAGAGCTTGAGTGCACAAAAATGTCTTTATTATTCCCTTATCCTTCAATTAACAGTTTTTAGTTTATTTCTGAAAATCCCGTTGCTAAGTGAAAACTTGTTAAATTTAAAAATAGTTCCATTAATTTTAATGGGAAAAGCTAAGATTGAATTCTTCCTCAGTCCAAATATGCAGATTATTTTCACTGAAACATAGATTAGCTAAGCAAGGAAAATACATTCATACAAGTAAAATATAACAATCTAAAATAAATAAATATAGTTTGTATGTGAAATGTAGTATAAAGAAATTCACTGTTCTCAGCAAGGGAGGAAGAGTAAACTTGAGAGTGGGTGATGGTTAGTGGAGAATTCCAGAAAGGAATTGTGCAAGACAGTGGATAAAAAGTTGATCACATTTTAGACAGGCATTCGAGGTTCACATTAGGCATGCTTTATGATAATTTTATCTGTGTAGACCTTTGTAGGACTTGACTCAGTTTTCTAATGCAACCATAAAAACACAATGAAATTCTGTCATTTTCCATAACATGGGTAGAACTGGAGGACATTATACTATGTGAATTATGACAGGCACAGAAAGATGAGTACCACATGTTCTCAAAGGTGGAAGCTAAAAAATTAATCTCACAGAATTGGAGAGAAAACAGCAGTGCCTGGAGCCTGGAAAGAGTATGAAGCAATAAGGGATGCAGATAAGGTGGTTAATGGGTACAGGGCTGCAAAAAGACAGGAGGAATAACTTCTAATGTCCTATGGCACAGTAAGGTAACTATTACTGAGAAAAAATGAATTAGGTATTTCAAAATAGCTAGTAGGAGGGACTTGGAATGTTTCTATCCTAAATAAATGATAAATGTCTGAAGTGATAGCTATGCTAACTATCCTGATTTGAGCATTATGTTGTATGCGTGTATTAAAATGTCACACTGTACTGCATACATACATGCAATTACTGTGGTGATTAAAATTAAAAACTTTCTTAAAATTTAAATTAATAAAGGCCAGCTCCTATGTGTCACCTGATTTTTGTTATTGATTTAACTGTGGTACCTAATACCACACACAAATGTGGTGCTTTATGATAGTTATTATAAAATGCTTGATTTGCTCATTGTCTTTGTCACTTTCAGTTGCCAAAACAAAATACTCAACACCCACAGTTTGAAAAGGAAAAGGTTTATTTTGACTCTTTGTTTCAGTCCATGGGGAACTGATTCCAAGGTAGAAAAAGTGGCATGGTGGAAGGGCCTGGACAGAGGACAGCTACTTATGCCAGAGCAGCTAGGAAGCAAAGAGAAGGGAGCCAAGAAGCCAGGAAGCAAAAAGAAAGGAGGATTGAGGGACAAGAATACTCCCTTCCAGATAATCCTCCAGCGATAGACTTCTAGCAAGGGCACATCTCCTTACAGCTAGTTAGCTATGAACACAACAGTGGACCCATCCACTGATTAGTATAGTGCCCCAGCGATGCAAATTACTTGTCAAATATGTGAGATCTGGGGGAAACATTTTAGATCTAAACCATAACATTCCAACATTGGTTCCCAAAAAACTCATCCTTTCTCATTATGAAAAATGTGTTTTTTCCATCTCTAAGAGTTGCCAAAGTTCTAGCATTGTTGAAAAGTCCAATTCCAAAATGTGCCCTGAGGCTCACAGCAAACTCTTACTGTGAACCCTTGAAAAAAATAAAGAAAATTAAATACTTCAACTTACATCAGCACAGAGCAAACAATCTCATTCTGGAAGAGAGGAATAGGAAAACAGGAAGAAATAAGACCAAAACAAGACCAAATCCCAGTTGGGCAATGTCAAATCCTGTAGTTCCATGTCCATCACCCGGAATAAGTTGTGGCAAGATGTGGACTCCAAAGGGCTTACACAGCCCAGCCCCTACAATATTATCAGGTGTAACACATGTAGTCTTGAAGTGGCTGTGTTTACTGCCTGCAACTTTCCTCAGCAAATGGTCCACATTTTTGTTATCTCCAATTTCCTGTGGTTTCCCTTGTATCTTTGGCCTCACTTTCATAACTTCATGCACTACACTATTAGGGGTACACTGCCTGGCCTTTCAGGCCTTCTTTTGACATGTGGTTGGAAACCTCCATGACCCCATAATTCTAACTCTGCATGCCTCTAAAGTCGACACCACATTGATGACACTAAGATCTGCATCAGCCTTTGCGCTCCTGGATGGCTGAGCACTGTGAAACAAATTCCAGAAAGCCAGTTCTTGAGGTGGTCCTTATTAAGCGGGTGCACAGGGGCTCTCTTCTCAAATGAAAGCTTTATAGATTTGCAACCTTGATCCTGCACAGTCTTGCTGACTCTTATGTTGCCTTTAAATCATGTTTCCTGTTGTCCTGATGGAAACTGTTTTGCTTTGTGTATACTAATCATTCAGCAAACACATGTGCTCCATGGCTAGAACTTTGTACGTGCTTCCTTCTGATGAAATTGCAAACTATTCACATCTGCTTTTGATTTTGCTTCTGATTTTCACTGTAGATCTGTCTAAAATCAGCCAGCAGTATGCTTGCACAACCTGAATGTTGGGGTATTTTGAAATTTTCTCCACCAGATTAATTAATTAGTCCCCCATCCTTAATTTCCCAGTCTTCTACAAAATCTCAGGACATGAGCAAAATGAAGACAAATTTTCTTCCAGGGTGTAAAATACATGGCTCTAATCCAACTACAAATGGAGTCCTTAGCTGAAAGCTCCTGGCCCTGGTCTTTACTATCTGCATTCCTGTCAGCGTTCTAGTCTTCAGAGCTCTGAGCAGAATTCTCCATTAAGCTCAGCTCATAGCATTTTACAGCTTCCTTAGCTAGTGTCTCCAAATCTTTCCAAACTTCTGCTACAAATCAGTTCCCTTCTAAACCTCATATTGAGAAAAAGTCACAGCAATTATCACCGTGATCCCACACTTGGTAACAAAATCCATCTTAGTTACTTTTGCATTGATGGGACAAAATACCAAACACCCCTAACTTAAAGAAGAAGAAATGTATTTAAGCTCATGACTTCAGTTCATGGTTGGCCAGCTCCAGCTCAGATGGCATAATGGAAGGACTCGGGTGAAGACAGTTGCTCATCCCATTGCCAGAGACCAGAGAGGTGAAAGAAGGCAGTGGCAGGAATATACCTTTCCAGATCACACCCCTAGTGGCCTGCCTTTACCCAAAGCTAATCTAACAACAAGCCGGTATGAATTCAACAATGGACTGGTCCACCGATGAGTACACCACCCCCATGATCTAATCACCTTCAAACACATAAGAATTGCACAGAACGTTTTAGATTTAAACCATAACATTATCAGAATATTTCATACTCCTGAACAGTTCTTTCAGAATGTCATTATCCTTGTTGGTTTCATAGGCATATATAGTGCCTATACATAGATCATGTCAGTATATTACACTTTCTGGTATCACTGAGAAG